AATAAACTCTTGACTCGTATTTGTTGTGACTGTACATGTATATTTTATTGAATTTTAACGAATGAGTTCACTATATATCTAGTAGGTGCTCTAACAGGAGAACGGTAGCTGTGTGAGCATTAGGAGTGATGACAGCACGTGTCAGGAGTGAGGTCCCGTTACAAGGTATAGTAAAAATGATGGGGCTCGGGGCTGAGCTGATGCAACAATAGCGAGGTGTTGGTGGAGGCTGCGTGTGCTCCCGTTACTCCCGCCAGTCCTTCACTCGCGCTCCTTCAATTGAGGCCACTCGATTTAGCTGCACTTTATTTCGAGACTTTAAATTTAGGGTTTTCAATAAAATAAAATAAATTATTTGCATCATGCAATGCAGTGGGGCAGTGAACTTTCTCCTGGTCGATGTCAGTGGTCTCTTGCTGATCAACCATATATAATTATCTCACCAGGTGGTGGTGGTGTTGTTCACGGTACACCTTCCTACGCATAAATTTAGTGATTTTCTGTCATGTATAAAATATGTTCTATTCATACAAGTGTTAACTACAAAGACAAAATAGAAAGGTTGTTTTCCATCTTAGGGCTGGAACTAGGGGGGAGGGGCCGCTACAAACTGCTCATAGGGGGGGTTGAAACACCTGTTTTGAATCAGTATTGATCACTTTCTGCATACGAAATATACTGCTTAATACTATTTTCCATTTTTTACAAGGTAAAATGTTTGCGTTTACTGTGCAGCCATATTGGCTATTCCAGGATAAACTTGTCCTACTACCACAACCCGTTCACCTCAATAGTACAACGTATATTGATGAATAACTTCCCTAAAGCCAAGAACTGATGTTATCAAAATGGCAGAGGCTCGCAAAATTACCGCAATGTCCTGTTTTCAGTTCATGGGTCGTCGGGTAGGTTAGGGTCCGGCAATTTAGTAAAACAGTTTAGTGAGGTTGGGAACGCTCTGGAGAACGAGCTGCCAGTGAACGTCATGTAACCTGAACTATATCACTTTGTGGTCAACATTATTTATTATTATGAATTTATATAGTTAGTCGTGTATTTTCTAACATACTGACTACACATGTCAACCCGTTTTCGCACTTGCTTATAGTCAATATCTTGCTTATGAATAAGTGCATATGTGACATACTAACATTATTTTGTTGGTTGCTATAAGTTGTTGATATTGTTTACCACTTTCCCCAAGATTACTCATGAATCATTTATACCTAACACGTGCATGCTAATTGTTTCAAGTATCTGGTCAATATGTTGTAAGGCTCCCCAGGCCCTCCTCTCCAACTGTTCATTACTGAATCAATGTTTGGATTTCTTAGTTTAGTTTTTTTCTGTATCCTGTGAATGTATTGCGAAAATGTATTAGTTGACCTTTATTGATCCGGAGCAAGCGAAGGTCTAGGTGACTATAGAGGAGGCTATGAAGGATGTGCAGCATGGAATAGAGAAATGTGAAACTCAATGAACAAGTTTGAAGGAAGGAGCGGTGTACCCAATGACTGGTACACGATGGAAGTGTTATCAACATGCGTGTTAATTATGTCTTCCATGTTATTGACTGTATGTGGGTAGAGATGTGGCACACATCACATTAAGAATATCGGAAAAGATTGTGCGCGGTGGAATGATTAAAATATATACTAACTATATATGCATCACAAATGTGGATTATTTCAGATCTCCTGACAAGAGATACATAAAAACCAATTGAAAGTTCTATCGACGTGAGAAAGCAGATAAAAGTGAAAGATAGCAAAGACGAAAATTATGTTTATGAAATTGTGAACAGATTTTGCCAATGATAATTAATGGCAAATAATTCGGAGCTGCCTCGTATGGGCCAATAGGCCTTCTGCAGTTACCTTTGTTCTTATGTTCTAATTACCAAAGAAAGGTCATATGTGAAGGAAGTTTAGAGTAGTGAAGAAAGTGGTCGATGCGGGGATGTTAACTCCTATGGCGGGGGGGGGGGGGTAACAAGACTGCATGAACCTCTCCGGCTAGATAGCTGCATAGAGGGATTGATGACCAAGTGTATCAACTGTCTGGAAGTGAAAGAGCTAAAAAGTCTGGAAAGTGTTAAGTATACCAGAGTTAAGAGAAGGGAAGACGTGACAACATGACTACGAACAAAATAGGAACAAATCTGAAAAAATTGCCACGAATTCGTGAAACCTGCATGTTAAAGAAAAGTTTAGATTTAGGGCACCGAAACTTTCGGCGCACGAAATGCTAGTTGTGGCGTCCACAACTCCCCTGTGTGGTCCTGTTTCTCCTCCTCCTCTCTTCCCTTACCACATCCTGGGGGTACTTTATTTTATTTATTTATTTATTTATTTATTTATTTATTTATTTATTTATTTATTTATGCATATACAAGAATGTACATAAGGAATGTGAGGATACAAATATGTAATTACAGTCTTGTAAAGCCACTAGCACGCGCAGCGTTTCGGGCAGGTCCTTAATCTAAGAAAATTTTAAGGAGGTAAATACTTGCAAAATTTAGACAAAAAATGATAACAGATTACATGAAATGAAAAAAGATGAGAGAAATTGTAGGTACAGTATATTAAAGCACATAGGTAGCTAAGATTGATTGCAATGACAGCTTGAATGGTAGTTGACAAAAAAATTGGTAGGCACAATACAGCAGAAACAATATAAGATTGGTTGCAATGACAGCTTGAATGGTAGTTGACAAAAATTGGTAGTCACAATATTACTACTTTACTTTAAAGTAATGGTTACTTTATAAGATAAGTAACCTTCCGTGTATTTACTGTGCTACTAGCTAGGTGTGTGTTTCGTTTAGAGGTATTTTAGGTCAGTGTTTTTGGCATCAAGTACTCCATTTTGACTAGTGAACCACGTGGGTCATAGCTACCCAGGCCTTACAAGTGCCTCTCTTCAAGTAGACTTTACCCTAGTTTTTCAAGTGTAAACCTTGTATCCTGTCTATGTGGACCAGGGTAGAGTGGTGTTTTTTACCAGTGGTAGAGTGGTGGTAGACCAGTGGTAGAGTGTTTACCACTCTACCTCTAACAAGGTAGAGTGGTAAAGTATATTATTGTAGTAATGTATATGGGGGGTTATTAGAGGGTTTAATAAATAAGCACTAAGAAAGGAGTATCTCTACTTCCTGTTGAGAGTAGAATAGGGGATTACCTTAGACTAGACAGTTTTTCTAGCCAAACAATTGTTTATTTTCTGGGAATATTCTTTCCCTGGGGCCGGGGCCTCCCTATTGCCACTATTTTAGGAACTCCTTTGGATTTTAATATTGGCCCTCTCAGTACAGTCCCTAGTCCCTACCCCTGATAACATAAACCATCTCTCGGACGTCTGGACAACGCCTCCGCCTGGGAGCCGCCGGTTAACGTCCTGTTTTTGTGTGTTGGCTTTGCTACTGCCGTTTGGCATCCCTATTCAACGGTCCGGTTTACTAGTTGTGTTTACTAGTTGTGTTTTTGCGGGGGTTGAGCTTTGCTCTTTCGGCCCGCCTCTCAACTGTCAATCAACTGTTTACTAACTACTTTTTTTTTCCACACCACACACACACACACCCCCAGGAAGCAGCCCGTGACAGCTGACTAACTCCCAGGTACCTATTTACTGCTAGGTAACAGGGGCACTTAGGGTGAAAGAAACTTTGCCCATTTGTTTCTGCCTCGTGCGGGAATCGAACCCGCGCCACAGAATTACGAGTCCTGCGCGCTATCCACCAGGCTACGAGGCCCCATTACCGGTTGTACGACGCCTGGCGCACATATCGCCTTGGGTCACGGGATTGTTGATAGATTTATTTTTTACGTGTTCTGGCTGGTTCTCCCGGCGGGGTGACGGAGTTCGGGGGCAGGCTTGGCCGAGAAGTGCCGGGGGTTGGTGGGTCTTGGGCTCCTGGTGTGCCCTCAGCCATGCAGTGGGCGGCTGGCTTCTGCTCTGCTGGACACTGGATGACTTTTGCGTTTTAGTTGGGGGCCGAGTTTTCGTTTTGCTACCCAGTGTTCTCTGTGTGGGGGCGGGGCCGGTGCTTGTCACCCTGAGGGACTCCTGGGGCTCCCCAATCATCTGCCCGTTTGCGTTTTTTTGCCGCGAGGCATAATAAATCAAGAGCTTTGTCATGGGTTCGTATCCTAGCCGGGGAGGATTTACTGGGCGCAAACCCTTAACTGTAGCCTCTGTTTAACTCAACAGTAAAATGTATACTTGGTTGTAAAAACGATTCTTCGCGGCGGGGATCGTATTTCAGGGACCTGCCCGAAACGCTACGCGTACTAGTGGCTGTACAAGAATGTACAAGAATGTAACAATTCTTGTACAGAATGTACAAGAATGTAACAATTCTTGTACAGAATGTACAAGAATGTAACAATTCTTGTACAGAATGTACAAGAATGTAACAATTAAAGACTGTACCTCTCTCAACCAGTTTAAGTTAAAAGCGAAGCTATACCTAATAAATTCCCTGTAACCTACCTTACCCTTCTATTGTCACCAATGTCTGTTTTTTTCTTTAAAGAGCGCTGTTTGTCGACATAATTGTATTTGTGCTGCTTTTTCATCTATGTTTTCATTTCTTGTTTTCATTCTACTCATTATGCTCAATTAGTATTAAGCTTGTCATTTAAGTTTATCATGCCCGAAACGCTTTGCGTAATAGTGGTTTAGGCATTGTATGTACTAGCTATACCTATAAGTTAAACAATCCTTGTAAATATTTATTGTATGTATGTACCTTACCTAAATAAAATTGTATTGTATTGTATTGTAATTCTTGTACATTCTGTACAAGAATGTAACAATTCTTGTACATTCTGTACAAGAATGTAACAATTCTTGTACAGAATGTACAAGAATGTAACAATTCTTGTACAGAATGTACAAGAATGTAACAATTCTTGTACAGAATGTATAAGAATGTAACAATTCTTGTATATATCCCCCCAAAAAAATAGTCTTCAGTGATTGGCGTCACTCGTTTCGCGATTAGGCTTGGCGTTCCACCTTTCCAGGCTTCGCGATTAACCCATCACGGGCACGCCGGGGCGCAACCGAGCCCACGATAGTCGTCGCCCTTAAATCACCGTCAACAACAACACTAGCAGTGTGATGGAGGATGGTGTGGAGGGCGGTGTTAAGGCTGTGTTCTCCCTCTAAACAGCCACCAATGTCAGTCATGATGATGTCCAGTCAGGTGGCGGCTCCTCGGGTCCTCCACGACCAAGACAACTACCAGTTTTACATTACTACTGGAACAGGTGCGTGTTACACCTAGGTAAGGCACCCAAGACATACAAAAAGATTCACACAATTAAAAAACTATGTCACAGTTACATCACACACCTTACATACAGTGTATATAAAACAATTATTGTTTTATGTTTTCCTTGGGTTTAGTTTAAGTTAGGACATTTTAAACAAATCTATTTTATAAAGTAGTGGTCATGTAGCAACTACTTTTATCATTAATTATAGGAAAAAGAAAATGTGTTGAAGTACTGTATAGGATACAGTATTTCCTCCTATACTTTAGGATATATGATAAAATACCTACTTTAGGAAAAAAAAGTGTGGAGAAAGTGGTAAGCCAGTGTGATTATATATAGCACATGGCATGGATAAAAGGTAAAGGTAGGAGGTGGGACGGGGGAGCTCAGAGGGAAGGAACAGTGCTCAACCATTTGGACAATCACAATATTTAATGCTGGCCCAGCAAGAAGGCTATCTTGCTGGATAGATAGTAGATAGCCTTTATTAACTCTCAACTAAAGTTAGTAGAGGTTATCCTTCTACTAACCAGTCTTAAATAGATGCCATTTAATAAAGGTATAAAATGGTGATAATTTGACCAGCAAATTGCTATGAAACTTGAAATTTAGGCAATTCACTGCTTTCATGGCATTTTATTGTATTTTAACATGATTTAAATTAATTTTTTAATACGTTACCTAAATAAGCTAGGCTTGGGGCCACAATTAAGGGTATTGTTTCAACAATTCGACGAAGCTCATTTTCTTTTTGTTAAAACCGTATATATATTATTTTGCTAGGCTGTATTGGGCTTGGTTAAGGTGGTTTCAGTTAGGTTAGGTTAGTTTGGGTTAGGTTGGGTTGGGTTGAGCTAGATTAGGTTAGGTAGGCTTGAAAATCCATTGGGGAATCGTCTTGTCCACGATGTGACTTATATCCCACAATTATAAACCTAGTTTTCCACAGATAAAACTAATAAATTAGCCTATATTATTTGCTTTTCTCCAATTTTATTATATTTAAAAAAAGGGTTCATTTCCTTCATATATATTCCACTGGAAATCATTTAAAGTTTTTATTATAATAAATAAGTTGTTTAAAACACAATTATTTTTTAGTTAAAATTTTCTAACAAAATATGGTCCAATGTATTGAATATTATCATAAGTGCAAAAAACTCGGCACACACTCATCAATTAATTTTATATATTTTAGTTTCAAAATAACAAATTGTTATACCTTAGCTCTCTATATTGACTTTGTTATTTTTCTAATTGATAGTGCTTAGTTTACTTTTTATATTTCTAAAAAGAAAATAACATTTCCTATTTACAATAAATCATTGTAGTACTCAATGGTAATCAAGTTTAATCCAGAATATATTATTGCTGATAGATTTAGACCTACCACCGGGGAGGGTTTTACCTGTATCGCTACCAGACAGCTGCAGGTACCAGGCCCAAACTCCTTATCTGATGAACAGATGTTTGAACATTATAGGATGTTCAAACTGTTGTTTTAGTGTAGTATTGTAATTTTGTATATTTCTTGAGAGTATATTAAGTAGAAGTAGTAATTTGTTGGTATAATAAAAGATTTTTTTGTAACTAATTTGATTTTTTCAGATAAGGCTTACCTTCAATATGATATTGATCCAGCAATAAAAGTTGCAGATCTTCAGCATACTTTTGTTCCTGAAGCATTTAGGGGTCAAGGCTATGGTAAAATTCTTGCCAAGGTAAAAATACAATGAACTACATTTTTCTCATAACTGAATGTGTACAAGATCACCATAAATCTTAGGTGTCATATTATATCTGTCTCCTGCCATCTGTAGCTTTCTACATCTTCCATACATTTCCCTGTTCTTTGTTTCTTTCCAAACAATTAATTCAAATTTTTTGTAACAACAGTATTTCTATAACTTATATGTTTTAGCTGTCTCACATTAATCACCTCCTTTGCACTGTTTTCCCATTGACTTAATTCTCCACCTATTATTTAATGTTTGGGCCCATTCTGTGGTGGATATGGGGGCCCTGCAGGCCACTTCAAGCAACAGCCTGTTGGACCAAGCTCTAACAAGTCAAGCCTAGCCCCGGGCCAGGGTTGGGGAGTAGAACTACTCCCAGAACCCCATCCAAGTACAAATAGGATCTACACATATTTCAAGTCTTTGTCCTTTAAGAATACTCCACTATTCAATATAATTTTAAACTCATTAAAATGTATACTGTATGTGTATTTTGTAAAGCAGAGAAAAATTTACCATTTCATCCTCCTGCTTTATTTAAATTATATTTACATTTCCATCTTTTATCATTAATTATATTTGTTGCAGTATGTAAAACAGATGAGTGTAGCGGAACACCAAGAAAAAGAAGACACAATTTATAGATAATGTTCCACCTGTAAAGACTTTATTAAATCAGGTACACAGAACTAATTCTTATAAAAGGAAATATGGGGAAGGGGTGACAAATATTAATTTAACAAGGGTATATTGGTAGTGAATTTTTGTTAATTCTATCCAACGATGATAAAATTTGATAGCTGCAAATTTTATACACTTTTTCACATTATTGTTTTTTCTATTTTTAATGAGTTCAGCACCTCTACAGTTTATGAAGAATTACACCTGGTGCCTGTAATTACCTATGTGTAGTTACAGGATGAGAGCTACGCTTATGTCCCATCTTCCCAGCACTCTTTGTCATATAACGCTCTGAAATTACTGATGGTTTTGGCCTCCACCACCACCTCGCCTAACTTGTTCAATCATTTACCATTCTGCTTGTGAAAGTAAATTTTCTTACATTTCTTCAGCATCTTTGTTTAGTTAGTTTAAATCTATGACCTCTTGTACCTGATGTTCCAGGTCTCAGGAATTCTTCCCCTATTGAAGAATCCTATTCCCCTTTCCCTATTTGTGCTGTAGGGAAAGAGGAATTGTGCTGTAGGGACGCTAAGCCCCGGAAGCACCTCAAGGTAACCTCAAGGTAAGGTAGGTGTTATGGACACAGAAAGCACACAATGACTAGTTACCGATTCACACCTCAGTAACTCAGCCATAATCAGGGAGGAGTTAGCACATTTCTTGATTTCACTTTGATTCTTGAAAGAGTGCTGGGAAGACGGGACACCACGAGCGTAGCTCTCATCCTGTAACTACACTTAGGTAATTACCCAAATTCAAAATGCATGGCATAGTGGCCAAGTTAGTTACAGATGTGCTGTGGTAATGTTTACAAATACAGTACAGTATATTTAAATGTGTTATATTTAAATTTAAATGTGTAAATATATTGATAAATATGGTATGTCTTGAATTAACAAAAGAAATAGATTTGAAGGATTCAAACAATATTCACACATTCAAGCATTGTTGTAATGCATTTTTTTATCATAATGACATTTCTGTATTTTTACAAAGGCATCATAAACTGTTAAAATCATGCATAGTTCAGTTCTTGTATATGAAAATAGTGGGAGAATAATAGTATATAGTAAAATTATTTAATATTGTGAATGTGATTTTATTACAGGCAGCATTTGACTACTTTGTTGAAAGTAATCAGCATATGAAACTGACTTGTTGGTATCTTCAAAAGTACTACAAGGAAAACCCTCTCCCTCAGTATCAAGAGAAGGTACTGGATAAGTAAGTCATAGTAAAGACTTTTACCTATGACTATTTTTGGAAATTTGTATATTTTGCAGTGTCTTAGGACTTATATTAAATGTGAATAAAATATTATTTATTTATTGTACAGTATACATAAACCCTTTCATTGAATCAAAAATATAACATTTAAAGTCTTGATTATTTAGGTTATCTTTCACAATAATGGTTGCTCATACACATGATCAAATTATTCCACCAGTAATTATTTCACCAAGTTTTACTTGGCCATTCTTGCATATCCACGGATCGTATTGACCCGGTTGTTCGATTCGGTTTGGTCCCTTACCCTTTTGTCTACCACCTCCTTTTTTCCCGAGGATGTGTTGCCCCAGATTTTGTCAGCTGTGGCTTTTACTTGCTGCCCTATTGATCATCTATTCTTTTCTCAGGGTTCTGCCTCTGCTCGCAGGCACTCTTAGCACAACCAACACTTGGCAGTGTTGGTTTAGGTAGGTCGTCAGGTTGATCAGATTCACGGGTCATTGCTCTTCCTGCTATGAGTTCCTCTTCTTTTCATTGTCACAACTATGCATCTTGGGAGGATGATTCCATTAATGGTTCACGCTGGCCTTTTCGTGGTTTGCCCCTTGGATGCTGCCGTGGGGGTGCGGGGTTGTCTTGCAGATTTTGTCAGTTCCTGGTCCCATTGGAGTTGGTTGGGTCGTACGAGTCAGGATTCCTCTCCTGTCTTCATCGGGTCATTACAAGTTACCTGGCCTTGGGCATGGTCCAGATGATCTTATCCCTTAAGCAGGTGTCCCGAAGTGGGTCTGTGCAGAATTATAATACTGTACATCCTCAATTTTTCGGGATTAAATGGTTTCATTCCCTGTCTGACCTTCCACATGGCCATTTTGACCCAGGCTCTCATTCTACGATAGGCCAGAGCTTGGCTGGTGTCCCTAGAACTCCAGGATGCATATCAGCATGTCTCTATACATTCCAAGTTCAGAGACTGGCTAGGTTTGTTGTGGGAGCATCAGGCTTATCCCGGGTTCTTTTCTAGACCTAAATTTTACCAAGTTGACATGGGTTGTGGTGGCCGGCTGCATCTCTTGGAAGTTAATGTGTTGGCCTACCTTGATGACTGGCAGGTGTGGACCCCCCCAGTCAGTCTGCATGTCAGCTGGTCAGGGATATGGTTCTTTCTCAGCATGTTGAGTTTAGGTTCCTGGTGAACTGAAGGAAGTCCCAGTGGGTTCCTTCCTAAGTTTGACTTGGCTGGGCTTAGTTTGGGAATCTTAGTTTGGCTTCTCTGTCCCTGCCTTCGGTGGCATTGCTCATCCTGTAGTTTTGTTGCTGTCAGGTGTTGGATCAGCCCTGGGTAACTCACTGGTTGGTCGAGCACTTTTGCTGGAGCCTGAACTGTGCCAAAGTTGTTTTCCTTCTGAGCAGGGTTTGGCTCTGGGCATTGTACCAGTTAATCCAGTTCTGCCCATTTGCTACTCCTGAAACCAGTGCGTTTGGGCAACACCCACCCTACATCAGCTCTTTGTTTCACCAACTCTCCTTTGGGGCTTTTTGGGGTTCAGTTCTGTGGTGCTATCCTCCCTCATTGCTCAGTCTTCATGAACACCTTGGCTCTGGGTTGGGGTTTCATGACCAACACTAACCAGGCCACTCAGAGTAGATAGTTGGGTCTGTTCCTTTGGCTGCACAGTACAGTGCACAAGTTTGTAGCTGTGTAGCATGCCCTGTGGAGGATTCGGCTTCACTCGGACTGCTCTCTAGTAGTTCACTGTTTGAACTAAGGGGGGTCATTTGAGTCCATGTTCCTATGGAACTGAGCTCTTTGGGTAGCTGAGCTTCTGGATTCTCTGGGTTTGGCTCTCTGAGAACTTCATGTGAGGTTTATCCAATATTATTGCAATGGGATATCTTGCTTCTGTTTATTTCCACAGGGTGTGAATCCTCAATGACGTGCCTTTCCATTGGCTCTGCGAGACGTTCAGTCGCCCCAAAGTAGACCTCTTTACGTCAGAATGAAACCAGTGCCTTTCCTCCAACATGGCTCCATTTCCCCAATTGTGAGGCTTTCATGGTGGATGCCTTTCGACTTGACTGGATGAGGTGAAGGAGCACCTATTCCCCCAGTCCATCTGTTGCTTCAGGGTCTGTCCACTCTAGAGTCATACTCGGTGAGTAATCCTTCTGGCTCTTTGGTGGTCAGCCCAGCCTTGGTGTCTGGCACTTCTTGCTCACTCCAAACCTAAGTATTTTCGTGTAGCTCTGCTTCTCTATTGCCATTTGGCAAGCAGGTGACAGGGTTGTTGGTGCCCTATCTGCATCTTTCCTCGCAGCTGCAGTATTAGTGGCAAAATGAGTGCCAAGCACCCGTCTCTTCGTTGTCATTGGTTTCAGTTGGGGTTGTCCTGTCTTTGTCAGCATCTCATGCCTAATACAGTACTTAAAGTAGTAATCTAGGTCAGAGTAATGAGGCTAAAATGCACATCTTATTTTATATTATTATTATGAATAGTTATAATAAAATATTAATTTTACCATAGGAAAATAAACAAGATGAACAACAGAATTAAGGGGAATGAGTAGAAACTAGAAATATCTGTACTGTGAATGAGTCTAGGATGAAAGTATTGCACAGTATTCATGTACAAATCACTTTGAGTAGTTGTCAAATTCATTTAATTTCTTAATTAACTTTAAACCCATTCAATGTGCACATTTTTATTTGCTTAGTTTATTACAGTATTTAATGTTTATAATTCTGGGTAAATATTAAAAAATATAGGTTAAAATAAAAACCATAAAATGGTTATACTATAATATATATTCAAGGCAAAAGAAAAAACAAAAAACTTATCTTTGGCTTACAAAACACCTACTAATATTCATCTCAAAATACATAAGTTGCATATACAGTAATATAAAAACCTTAAACAATGTCTTGATTCTAACATTTAAAATAAGCACAACTGTGTGTGTGTTCTACTGGTCTCCACTTATTTGATTATAATCTAAGATTGACCTAATCCTTTAGAGCACACAAGCATTTTAATATTCAAAACAAACTTAAATCATACAGTGCTTAATTGAAAATAAAATACAGGCAAAAATAAATTAAAAATGGTAGCACAATCATGAAAATTTAAAGTTTTATCATTTTCAAATATAATTTCAATTACAATACCTGGAAGTTCTTGGCACTTTCTTTTGATAATTACTTACTGTCAAGAGTTTTGTGAATACAAAATATGTCGCCTGTATAAAATGTTTGTATTGATATACATTATTTGCATTTGTGAAATAGAACACAAACTTAACAGCCATAAATATATTTACACTTACAAGTTAGGCTGTAGAACTATATGCACCGGGTGCATTACTCTTCATCTTGCACAGTTTTCAAAATACTGCTACAATATTCAACCATCTAACATAACATAGGAGCCATTTTTCCTTCCCCCAGAGCACCAATATTGCATGACCTTACTGCATCAAACATTTGTAATTCTTACATCATCAAGGCGTCACATTTAATAAAGAATATATTTTGTAGGCAAATATATTGTTAAATATTTAACTTAAAAATGTAATAGAACACACTGCTGGTTTAGTTAAAATATTTTGTAGGGCTGTGCAAAGATGAGCAAGCCCCAATGAAAAGTAAATGGCAATCAATATGTATTATGAAATGTGATACTATACACATACTTGGATATATTGTCTTAAAGTATATAGATTTAAATAACGTTGTAAAACAAGTGTTACACAGATCTGTTATATAATACTTTAGCTCATCCCCAAGCTGCACATGTGCAGATCCCGAACTTCTCAAATGTAATAATACAGGATTTCAATTGACAAATAAAACATTCGCCTTGATCAAAATACAGTAATAAAGTGTTAAGTACATATACAGTACTTGCTTAGTCGATAGGTTTCCCTGATCATTAGTGAAAATTACTTATCATAACAGCTGCTACTCCTGTACAAGACATTTTAACTCAGTATCCACAGCCCCAAAATAAATTATAAATTCACTTAATTTTTACACATCCTTAGTAATCATTTACAAAAACAAATAATCCTTTATTATTAATAAATTCAATAGTTAAACTACTTCAGTAGCAGACAAAGGGTTTGAAACCAGGGAGGAAGCTGAAAACTTACAAACTGTTGGCATGTCATGTTCCACAGATGCACTTTAGGGTACCTGCACCACAGTATACGGTACCTTCAAGAATAAAATTGATCCAGCAAGTTATAGAGATAAAATAAATTGTACTAACCATTGACACCTAAACATCCTGTCTTTCCATCCTGCAGCTTCATTAATCTGTCTTGGATTCATCAGGAAAAAGTACTATATTAACAAGGTAAAGGCCCTAAATAAATCATAAGTGGTATGTAGTAATATATACAATAGCAGCTGTTTGAATTATGAAAAGTTTTTTAAATTGTCTACTGTATCAATATAAACAGTTTATAATTTCATAGTGTTTCTATACATTAGAATGTTTCTAAGTTCAGAGTACACTGTTAGAAATGATGTTTCACCTGCAATGGCTTTGATACATCTTTTGCAGATTAAACAACACAGGTAAAAGTCTACTCTCTACCTCCTGTTTCTCTACATTGCTGTCTGCACTTTGTGCTCTGTTCAACCATAAAAATAAACCACTGAAATGCACTGAAGCTGTTAACAGTGGTGTTAAATGCAATAAGGTAAAATTATGGTCCCTTTTTGTGTGTGAAATTCAATCATTCACACTTGTCTGGTTAAAAAATATGATTCAAGTTCAATCTGATGTTCACACAGTCTAGAGTACTGAACAATAAACATTCTTGAGAAAATGTGCGCATGTGATTACCCCAAGTTGCAGGATGAGCATAATGTTCAGTCTCTGCATGTGGGCAGGTGTTTGTATATTTTATCAGCACCATTAACAGCAGATGATCAAATATTATTAATTGTATGTTTCACTAATTATGATATTGATAACCAAGTTCAATAGCATATAACAGCAGATACAGAATATAGATTACAAATGTGTATGCAGTATATAATGTATAAAATAATCGCAAATATATTTGCAAACACTACATTTTTTTTTTTTTTTAACATTTTAAATACAGTACCCACATACAAAATTACTGTACATAGTAAAATACAATATGATACTATACACACTGAGTGCAAAATACCAAACTCATAGTTCCAGGGTAAGTCTTATATTAAAAGGATATTTCAGTATCCTTAATAAGTCATTGCATCATTGTGTCAACTTCTCAAATTATAAGTAATGTCTCAAAATCAGTGAAAGGTTTGATTCTTTTTAATTTCTAGTTGTGATTATATGAATAAGTAAATAAACAAATATAATCACTTAGTAAATATTAATACAAGTGCTTAATATATTAATATTTTATGATTTGTCCATCACTGACATTTTTTTTTCTCTACAAACTGCAAGCTAAAATGGAGATTACTATATAGTTGTCACAATATTACAGTAGAGCAGTATCTAAATTTAAGAGCATATTTCCATAACGGAACATGGGTACTGTATTACAATTATGAAAAACAAAAATCAGTTGCATATGAGAAAATATTGGACAAATAAATATAAACATTTCATTAAATATAGCAATCCAGCTAATTCAAGCACAAATGCAACCTTATTTAATGACTTAACAACAAGAGCATGGAGAAACTAAGGTATGAATGGTAATTTTCAATATTGTTCTGATTCCATTTTAAATGATAGGCACAATTTTAGGGGGCCTAGATGACTCCATAGAAAATTCATTACAAAAAACATAAAACCAAATTCTGTTATTGAAATTTTGTTTTACACAAAAAATATTAATAATTTGGATATAAACACAAAGTGCAATTTTTCCGAAATCTGGATTTCCAAGGGAGGACTGCACATGTGTATATGGTAGCATTTAGGCTTGGACCAGGTGATCATTCAACATGCAATAAATATTTATGTAACTATCAACAGTGCTGTACTTTAAGTTTAATGAGCATCCTACAGTATATAAATACTGTATTAGCACAAATTGTAAATACAAAATATTAAAACCTTTATTTAATGTGGAAGCACATCACAAACGAGGTCAATATTTATTATCTTTTGTAAATTCTTTTCTCTAGAAAAGTTGTATATTTCAGAAAAAACCAACAAACACTTTATAATCTACACTTTAATTCCAAGGAAGTTATGAGATTAGGAGATGTGAGGTGAAGTGAGAAACAAAGAGAGAATGATTGATGGCAGTCGCAGTCGTCCCCACACATCACTGCCTAAGACTCTGAATACAACTGTAGAGGATTTTATTATTATTAGGGCACTTTAGTAATTGCAAAAGTTTATAACGATACTTTATTAGTGAATATGAACTATTATAATTATTATTAATGCACTAATAGTGGGTTTTGGAACACTGAACATGAAACTAACTTGTTAACCTGTGTAAAACTGAGCTGTTCATTAATGAGAACTTTTTTTACAATCATTTTGCATTTTATCTGTTATTTGTTGAGTAATAACAATAAATTAGGTGCCAAAATGTTCACATATGAATTATTTAGAGAACAGAAGCAAAACTAAGTGTGTTTATAATAGATTGCGCATGACAGTGATGAACATATGAATGTTTATAAATAATAATTAAGAGTATTTTAGCATGATCAGTATGCACAAGTACTAACCTCTTCATTTCATAATGATGGCAAGTAATTACATAACACTAGAAATCCTCTTTGTTCTTTTTAAAACACTGTTTGATAGGAGTCTGTATTCATAAATAAACACAGTAATGTACCTAAAAAGTGACGATGGCTCAAGAATGTGATGTACAGTACAAAGAATTTGCCAAGTTTGAAAAAAGCAGTATTTTAAATAGTTTTTCAAAATTATTAACGAATAATTATTTTCATGATGCTTCCTCTCATTTAGGTCAATTTACATTAGAGAAAATATAGTTTTTTTTTTTTTATAACATGTACCTAGTTGTTATATCTATTAATTCACACAGTATTTCTATATTATTTGCATACCTATAATAATGATACACATGTATCTTTTAAACAGCTTCATGTACTTGTCATGGCTAATTTTAAGTGAACCAATTAACATTTCCAGAATAAGTAGGTTTACTTTTTGTTCACATCAATTATAAGAAAGAAACAAGTTAGTACCTGCCACCTCGGTGGCAGGTACTTCTTAGGAAGTATTGATTCATCAGACATCTCGGTTCAGGAGGTGCTAAAGCCTATTTCTTTCTAATAACTGCCATTAAACAAAACTGTTCCTGGTGAAGGTACTGGTGCATGTGTAGCTACGTTAGGCTTGCTCTTTCCTTCTTCACTAAAAAAGAAAAATAATAAAATGCATAAAATTAAATAAATACTGTACAAAAAAATTAAATAATAGGCTTGTCACATGAGTATCTTCCCTTATGCATGGTATCCAATGATTCAACAAGTATTGTACTTGTGCTTTCAACCAAAATTTTTTTCTTTTAAATGTGTACTACTTTGGACTGAACTATTGTGTCGAAAAACCTTCCACCTGCGAAAAGTAATCATTTTGTCTAAAATTATATCAATGCTGTACAGGCTCATTAAGTTATGTGTATTAAAGACAAAATATTGTACAAGAACAACAAGTAAGTAAGTAAATAATAAAGGTAATGTACTCAAAGGCTTTGGGTGTTCTCCACAATACAATCTTGAAATAATGCCTAGATGAGTATGGTGGTTTGAAAATTGAGGGTGGTGGTCGATATTAAGGCTTTAAGGCTATAATGTTGAGGGTCCAGGGATACATGCAACAACACTAGAGCCTTCAATTTGAGCTCTCCTGAAAGTCATCCCAAAATTCTGTCGGCTGTTTCTCTCAGTGTCTCAACTTTTAAAAAAGGTGCATATACACTGTAAAGCTATTAGATTGTCTACGCTTGATAATTCAAATTATATGTGACCCACCCACATTTAAGTTATCCGAACTTATTTGGGTTTTTATTTACCAGAAATCTCTGGAACCTAAAGTTTTATTTGAGCTGAGCTATCAAAAACTCAAACTCATAATTATTCAAATTACCCAAAGATTCAAGTCACTGAGTTCTTACTGTAATCTACAGTACAGTACTGTAATGTACTTCAGTACTCTTCAAGTACTGGAGACCATTATTTTTGCCCAGAAGTTTAAAATTGTTTCAAAGCACTTGTTAATCCCCTTCAATGTTTTCTCGGGAGTTTTGTAATCAGAGTCCTGTGAATTCCTCTGCATATTTTCTGAGTAATCTTGGCATCAATCATCTATTTAATGTTCAAGATTCTGTGATCAAGTCTTATCCAAGTTCTGCGGGATTTTATTCCCTTAACATAGACTATAATGCATTATTCTTTGCACCAAAACCTTTAAAGCCTACAGTGCTGTTGTCCTCTTAAAGAAAGAGGCCAGCTGTTAGTCTATGTTTGTTCCAGCCAAGCTTGAAGTTAGGGTGTTTGAATGCAGCCCACTACTATGTGGCACACACTTGCATCTCCCATTTTGTAGGGTGTGGGGGGGGGGGAGGCAGGGATTGGTTGGGGACTCTACTCTCCTAAATTCTTCTCACTAAAGATATAAATAGCCTCGAATCTTAAGCAAAGAAGTTAATGAAAAAAAACAGCGTTGAATGTAATGAAATGTCATTTTCTGGGTGGGACCTGGAGGCTCCCTGGAGCTATCCAGGCTGATATGCTAATGTCAGATTTTGGCATCAGTCATGTGTATATAGTTCTGTGGGCCTACCAGGGACCACGAGCCAGAACCTGGCCCCCTCAGATAGGCAAGGGGAGCAATGGCCTATAGAAATCCCCGTGTAGTTAGAAGCATTGTAGTTGTCTGCCATCAACCAGGTCAGGCACCCAGAGAGTTAAGTGTCCCAAAACAAACCCCTATTCTGGTGATAATTGCTACAACAATCCGAACAAGTGGATAGAGCTCTCCAAAAAGAAACGAGCAAACGACCATGACGTCACATGTCGCTGCTGTCTGCGCAGCTCCCCCCTTTTTTTGCCTTTCCATACGGAACACACGAGTGCCACTCGTTTCATGCGTACTGCTCAGTGGCAGATCCAACAACTTTACTTTCATTTATACGAGCTAGTTTGCATGAATGAGGCACATACTGTATCTAAACCTTAAGCAAAATTTTACAAAACAAATAACTATACAATTCAGAATGAATAGTTGCATAGGCATATATTGATATACAGTATAAAGTACTGTACATATTTAATTTTAGTCATTTCATCTCTGGATGGTTGGAAAATTAGGTTGCCACTCTAGTTTCATCAGACCTTACAAGTCTTATTTCATTTAAATAGTATTATAGCCACTTTAGTATATCAGCTGAGTTCTCAATGAGCTTCTCTTTAATTATTAGTTTGCTATATTTATCTTACATTAATTTTTATAGACCACCACCATCACCCAAACTATTTTCTTATTTTATAAGGTAAATTCAAGCAATGAATATCTTACATGGAGAAATTAGTGTTGAGCTTCTGCTCGATGTCTTCCAGTGGTGTACGGCAGCCTTGGTGCGGGCACTCCTCATTATCATCCACAGACGGAGAGCTGGATGCATGATTAAAATTTGACATTAAAACATTAAAATTTACAATTAACATCTAGACACCACTTATATATACACATATGTATAAATCTAATTTGAAACCTAGCCAATAAAAACAATTTTGATACTTAAAGAGTACATTTTGGGCAGAATATCATGAGAATATTTATTCACCATTTTCTTCAATTTGCTGAGACCAAATAGCAAACTATTATATATATATATATATATATATATATATATATATATATATATATATATGATTTTATATATATATATATATATATATATATATATATATATATATATATATATATATATAGTACTGTAATTGATTAACACTTCATCATACTGCATATAAAATGATTCATGCAAAATCTTGTTTAAATCTTTTGATATCCCAAAGCACATTTAGTTTAATATTAACATTTAAAGTACGGTTATAATCATATATCGTTCCCCAGAGTAATGCAATTATTATTATATGTTCATTTCTAGTTTTTATTACCCAGTTTTTATATAAATGATGTAATTATGGTTATAGTATACCTGTATAGATGTAATGCAGGTAACCTAGACCCATGAAAAATTCTGACATAGTTTTTAATTGCTAACTATGAAATTAGGTTAACATTTAACAATATTCTGCGATTATCATCAAATCAAAATGTGGCGTTTCCCCCAGTGTTTCATCTAACTCTAGATTCTCATTCCCTTCAAAGCCACTAGAAATGGTGGCCTACAGATAAATTCTGGTCAATTAACAGAAATAGGCCATCACCATTGCATTCATGAGCACATGTGTAAAATTATTGCACTATATATTTTACCAATGCTGTATCATATAAGAGAAACAATGGAAGACAATATTGGTACTACTTATTCTGCTTTGCTTTTTCCATAATGCCCATGTACATTACTTGCTACTGTATAGCCATTCAGGCTTAGCACCTTCAGGTAATTATTTACATTATTGTTATTACTTTATTTACAAATAAATATTTTGAGACAGTTAAAATCATTTAATATACTGTAATATACCATACACCTACTTAGAAAATTCAGAACTAAATTATTTGAATTATTTAGTTTCAAACAAAGCTTCCAAATTTGAAAATAGCAAAGACAATTAAATGGTAATACTGTACGGATATTCATTATCCTGACAGGAATCGGAAAGATAATTCTAATGGGCTATTTCCCAGCACTGACCTCAGAGAGGATTCTGTCACAGAATCTTGTGTTTCTTTATAACTGATGTCTCCTAAATCTTGCGGATTAATAAATGAGAGCTCCTTTTCTGTTTTTTTCTTGTTAAGCTTTTCTGTTGTTAGACCTTCATCTGGTGTAGAATCAGTTGGCATAGCTTCAAGTGACATAGCAATGCCAGCTGCAAGTTGGTTTCTAGTGTCACTGTAAGCACTGCCCTCATCTTCACTTCCTACAATATATAGAAATTCTTTGATGGGTAATAAAATATTTCTAGTTCTAATGTTATGAATCTGCTAAGTCATCACCTAATAATCATAAAAATCTCCATTCACAATACCAATATACAGTACATTATACTATCACCGTCATTCACCAGGCAATCATCATTCAATTATTGTAGAACGACAAAATTTCTCTACTCTCACTTTTACAACAGTTTTTGCATTCCACATCTTTCTATATTTTCATTCTCCTACTATATGTACTGTATATATATTCTCCTAAAACCAAAGATTTTTCTGAATGTCTCTTTCTACTACTTTAATTCTGAATTTTAAGTCATATTTTAACCCAATATCATACATCCACACACACAAGGTCAGACACTAACATAACATAAGGGCTAACAGAGTTAGGTAAGGATCTCCAACTGGAAACTTCACTGACAACTCACATAGAGGAGGTGAATAAAGAACTAGAAAAGTATAAAGAAGAAATAAAAGCGACATATGCTGAAGTTGTAAAAGAGAAAGAGACTATCAAAGAAGTGTGTTCGGAAGTCAAAACCAGAAATGACCAACAAGAAGCAGAAATTAGGCAAGCAATTAGGAAAGAACTGGTTACCAACAGTAAACTGGTACAAAACACTGCAGATAGAACAAAGTCCATAATCATTTTTGGATGTTTAGAGAAGGAAATTTCATCTAGGGTGGACCGAGCGGCAGAAGAGATGAAAATCATAGAGAAAATAGTAGGTTTAGGAGAAGGCTCAAAGGAAAATGTGTGTGATTTTAGAAGAATAGGAAAATATGAGAAAGAAAAGAACCGCCCCTTAAGGGTGACGTTTAATGGAGTGAAAAACATGATGGAAGTGCTAAGAAATGCCAGGAAACTGCAGAGTGATGAGGTTGGCAAATTTTGGTCAATAAGACAAGACCTCTCCAAGGAAGACAGAGAAAAGCTGAAAATGAACCTAAGTGAGGCAAAACGTCTAAATGGGGATAGAAATGAAGAAGACAGAAATTCTTTTTTTTACAAAGTGACAGGGACTGGAAAGCTTGTGAAATGGTACATAAAAACAAAGCAACAAGATCAGTAGTGGAAGGGGGAGTAAAGAGCAAAGGAAAAGGGAACATGTTCCTGAAAATTGTATATACCAACATAGATGGAGTGAGGTCAAAAACTTTGGAGTTGCAAGATATAATCCAGCTTAGGGTCCCAGATATTGTTGCATTATCAGAAACGAAACTTGAAGGAAATATAATAAATGAAGTCATATTCCCAAGAGGCTACTCAGTTTGGAGACGTGACAGGAAAACTAGGAAGGGAGGAGGAGTGGCTGTACTGGTGAAAAAACACCTGAAGGTAAAAGAGTTAATATTTGAAAACCCTCGAGATATTGACATAATGGCATTGCAGGTCTGGAATCAGGATGATAAGCTGATAATTGTAAATACCTACAGCCCACCAGCAAGCAACACGTGGACAAAGGAAGAACTGGATGACAAACGAGAGGGCCTCATAATGGTCATGAGAAGTCCACTTATGGATGTCAACGAACAAACTAACATTAAACATCGAAAAGACTTACTACATCTTATTTGGAAGCAAATCATCAAATGCAATTCAGCTACAGATAGACAACATTAACATCAGTAATAAAGATGATGGCAAGTTTCTTGGCCTATTCCTAGACAAGAGACTCAACTTCAGCACCCACATTCAACACATAACTAAGAAAGTCTCTAAGACAGTTGGTATACTCTCCAAAATCAGATATTATGTTCCTAACTCTGCTCTCCTCTCACTATATTATGCACTAATTTACCCCTATCTTAATTATGGTATCTGTGCATGGGGGTCTACCACTGCAAACCACCTTAAGCCCATCATCACACAGCAAAAATCTGCTATCAGAATGATAACTAACTCAGCTTTCAGACAACACTCAGCTCCCTTGTTTAAATCCCTAAACTTGCTAAATATTAACTCCCTCCACACATTCTCTTGTGTCAACTACATTTACAAAACCCTGTTCTTAAATGCAAACCATGCTCTGAAACTCTCCCTGGACAGATGTAATAGGACCCATTATCACCACACCAGAAATAAATATCTCTTTGATATCCCCAGGGTCAAACTTAATCTGTGTAAACACTATGCAAATTAAGGGACCTAGTTTATGGAACTCACTCCCTAGTGAATTGAAAAACTGTAAAACTTTTGCCTTATTTAAAAGCAAAACCAAAAAGTACCTAACTTCATCTTCTTAGTTTCCTACACTGAGCTTTAAATTTGCTCTGTACCTAGTGTTACCCAATCTCCTAATTTTTATGTAATTTCAAACAACCTTATCATTGTGTTCATTGCTGTCTTCTTTTATGTGCTAGCCATATGCTGTATTGTGACTACCAATTTTTGTCAACTACCATTCAAGCTGTCATTGCAACCAATCTTATATTGTTTCTGCTGTATTATGCCTACCAATTTTTTTGTCAACTACCATTCAAGCTGTCATTGCAATCAATCTTAGCTACCTATGTGCTTTAATATACTGTACCTACAATTTTCTCTCATCTTTTTTTCATTTCATGTAATCTGTTATCATTTTTTGTCTATAATTTTGCAAGTATTTACCTCCTTAAAATTTTCTTAGATTAAGGACCTGCCCGAAACGCTGCGCGTGCTAGTGGCTTTACAAGACTGTAATTACCATATTTGTATCCTCACATTCCTTATGTACATTCTTGTATATGCATAAATAAATAAATAAATAAATAAATGAGAGATATTATTGTACAAGCAGATAAAGATAAATCACGACTGTTGATACTGGGGGACTTCAACTTTAGAGCAATAGACTGGGAGGCCTATGAAGCAAGAACGGAGGACTTTTGGACATGCAGATTTGTGAACCTCATTCTGGAGACATTCTTGTATCAACACATAAAGCAAGCCACAAGAATGAGGGAAGGAGATGTACCGTCAGTACTGGATCTAGTATTCACCAGGAAAGAAGAAGAGATTTTTGACATCCAGTACCTTCCTCCCTTGGGAAAGAGTGATCACGTCCTGTTAGACATTAAATATGCTTTAAGATATCATCTAGAAGAAAATGGGGACATTGAAACAGTTGATAAACTCGATTTAAGGAGAGGCAACTATGGGGAACTTCGAAATTTTTTTAATGAGTGTAATTGGACAGAATTGTTGCTAGGCAGGGAAGTAAATGAAATGTATGCCAAATTTTTAAAACTATACAAGGAAGGCACACAAACATTCATACCAAAACAGAGATGCAGGGCCAGAAAACAGGATTGGTTCGACAGAAATTGTGAGAGGGCAAGAGACCAAAAGACACAAAAATGGAATCAGTATAGGAAGAGGCCAAACCCCCAAACATACCAGCGATACAAAGATGCGAGAAACAACTATACAGCAGTAAGGAGAGAGGCAGAAAGAAATTTTGAAAAAGGGATAGCAGATAAATGTAAAACAGAACCGGGCCTATTCTACAAATTCATAAACAACAAATTGCAGGTAAAGGATAATATCCAGAGGTTGAAAATGGGAAACAGATTCAGGGAAAATGAAAAGGAAATGTGTGAAACATTAACTGAAAAGTTCCAAAGTGTGTTTGTACAAAATGAAATCTTCAGAGAACCAGACACAATAAGAATTCCAGAGAACAACATAGAGCGGATAGAGGTGTCTAGAGATGAAGTGGAAAATATGCTAAAGGAGCTCGGGAAGAACAAAGCAGCTGGCCCAGATGGCGTTTCACCATGGGTTCTGAGAGAATGTGCATCTGAGCTCAGCATTCCACTTCACCTGATCTTTCAGGCATCCCTGTGTACAGGAATCGTAGCAGACATGTGGAAACAGGCTAACATAGTTCCAATCTACAAAAGTGGCAGCAGGGAAGACCCCCTCAATTATAGACCTGTATCATTGACAAGTGTAATAGTGAAAGTATTGGAAAAGCTAATCAAAACTAAATGGGTAGAACACCTGGAGAGAAATGATATAATATCAGACAGACAGTATGGTTTTCGATCTGGAAGATCCTGTGTATCGAATTTACTCAGTTTCTATGATCGAGCCACAGAGATATTACAGGAAAGAGATGGTTGGGTTGACTGCATCTATCTGGACCTAAAAAAGGCTTTCGACAGAGTTCCACATAAGAGGTTGTTCTGGAAACTGGAAAATATTGGAGGGGTGACAGGTAAGCTTCTATCATGGATGAAAAATTTTCTGACTGATAGAAAAATGAGGGCAGTAATCAGAGGCAATGTATCGGAATGGAGAAATGTCACAAGTGGAGTACCACAGGGTTCAGTTCTTGCACCAGTGATGTTTATTGTGTACATAAATGATCTACCAGTTGGTATACAGAATTATATGAACATGTTTGCTGATGATGCTAAGATAATAGGAAGGATAAGAAATTTAGATGATTGCCATGCCCTTCAAGAAGACCTGGACAAAATAAGTATATGGAGCACCACCTGGCAAATGGAATTTAATGTTAATAAATGTCATGTTATGGAATGTGGAATAGGAGAACATAGACCCCATACAACCTATATATTATGTGAGAAATCTTTTAAAGAATTCTGATAAAGAAAGAGATCTAGGGGTGGTTCTAGATACAAAACTATCACCTGAGGACCACATAAAGAATATTGTGCAAGGAGCCTATGCGATGCTTTCTAACTTCAGAATTGCATTTAAATACATGGATAGCGATATACTAAAGAAATTGTTCATGACTTTTGTTAGGCCAAAGCTAGAATATGCAGTTGTTGTGTGGTGCCCATATCTTAAGAAGCACATCAACAAACTGGAAAAGGTGCAAAGACATGCTACGAAGTGGCTCCCAGAACTGAAGGACAAGAGCTACGAGGAGAGGTTGGAAGCATTGAACATGCCAAAACTAGAAGACAGAAGAAAAAGAGGTGATATGATCACTACATACAAAATAGTAACAGGGATTGATAAAATCGACAGGGAGGATTTCCTGAGACCTGGCACTTCAAGAACAAGAGGTCATAGATTTAAACTAGCTAAACACAGATGCCGAAGAAATATAAGAAAATTCACCTTCGCAAATAGAGTGGTAGACGGTTGGAACAAGTTAAGTGAGAAGGTGGTGGAGGCCAAGACCGTCAGTAGTTTCAAAGTGTTATATGACAAAGAGTGCTGGGAAGACGGGACACCACGAGCGTAGCACTCATCCTGTAACTACACTTAGGTAATTACTATCACTCCTTCATGCAGCCTTATACCTGCATCTCTCCCAACCTAGTTCTTTCAAACCAAGACTTCCATTGCACTTGCCACTTACCTTTGATTCCTTACAGAGTAACGCACAAATGTCATGGAAATGTATGGAGTGTAAAAGTTAGTAAATTGCAAGCATTAGGATACCAAAATGGTCATGTTGAATGAGTAGATGATAGAAGGTGTGGTGTGTAGTTACAGGATGGAAGATATGCTCGTGGTGTCCCGTCTTCCCAGTACTCTGTCATGTAACGCTCTGAACCTACCGACAGTTTTGGCTTCCACCGCCTTTTCCAGTGAATTTGATTGTGAAAAAGCGGAAAAAAATTCCAAGAATATGATTGGTAGACAACAACACAGATGGACGCATTATACAGGCAGCTAAAAATGAATACGGGGAGAAGGGGGAATGCTTTGTATTACAGTACTTTCAAAAACATACTGAAGATGTAGAGTTCACATCCATGTTGGCTTTGTCCATTAATTAACTAAGACAACAGTTCAAGATGAGGCATCCAGCTTCCTTAACAGCATCATCCTTACCTGTCACATCACTATGAAACTCAAGATGGCCAGCTGCTCCATTAAGGCTTCCATGTAATACTGCATCATCCATGCCATTACTGGCTGTTAAATCATCCATGCCATTACTGGCTGTTAAATCATCCATGCCATTACTGGCTGTTAAATCATCCATGCCATTACTGGTTGTGTATGTTTCATCAGCACCATTACTTGTGGGGCCTTCTCCACTCTCATTAATTATGTCAACATCCAAACGTCTCCTGCATATAGCGTTTTATTTTTAAACAGAGAGAATGTGCAGTGACTTAATGTCTAACATATTCAGAGATTTAAGTAGGGGTACCGAGTGATGTCTGGGGCCAGAATTGGATATTGTCCTAATAGCAGCTTTGTGTTGAGTAATTAGAGGACGTAAGTGATTTTGGGTAGTAGAGCCCCAAGCACAAATACCATAGTTGAGATATGGATAGATAAGGGAGTAATAGAGAGTCACCAGGGCAGGGCGTGGTACATAATATCTGATCTTAGAAAGAATGCCCACAGTTTTTGAAACTTTTTTTGATATGTTTAGAATGTGTCCCTGGAAATTAAGCTTGTGGTCAATGAGAATGCCAAGGAATTTGCCATCTAATTTGTTACAAATTTGGGTATTGTTTATTTTGAGATTTATTTGATTAGAGGATTTATTGCCAACAGAATATAGAAGGTTTTGTCAATGTTAAGGGTGAGTTTGTTGGCAGTTAGCCACAGATGGACTTTATTTAGCTCAGTATTTACTGTGGCATTTAGAGCAAGGGGATCAGGACTGGAGTAAATGAAGGTTGTGTCGTCAGCAAATAGAATTGGTTTGAGGTGTTGGGAGGCATTTGGAAGGTCATTAATGTAGATGAGAAAGAGGAGAGGGCCAAGTATGCTGCCCTGGGGAACACCAATGTTGATGGGTAGGGTGGGAGAAATTGTATTATTCACAGAAACATATTGGAGCCTGTCAGTAAGGTAGGATTTGAGGTATTGTAGGGAGTGTCCTCTGACTCCATAATGATGTAATTTAAGAAGAAGGTTTTGGTGGTTGACAGTGTCAAAAGCTTTACGCAGGTCCACAAACAACCCAACAGGGAACTCATTTTTATCAAGAGCTGTATGAATCGAGTTAAGCATACTAATAAGTGCATCGTTAGTGCTTTTTTTGGGTCTGAAGCCATATTGGCAAGGGCTAAGTATATTGAGTTTGGCTAGATATGAGTAAAGCTGCTTATAGATTAGTTTTTCAACAATTTTTGACAAGTTTGGCAGGATAGATATAGGTCTGCAGTTGTTAACATCTGTGAGATTACCACATTTGTGGACAGGCGTTACTCTCGCTTTTTTTGGAATATCTGGGAAGGTTTGGAGTTCAAGTGACTTGTTGAAGAGCAAAGCAATAGCAGGGGCTAAAGATCTGGAGGCTTTTTTGTAAATTAAAGTTGGTATCTCCTCAAGGACACCAGACTTGGTTTTAAGGGAAAGGATTATCTCATTGACGTCAGTGGAATTAATAGGCTTTAGGTACAGAGACTGTGGATAGTTACCTGAAAGATAGTCATTAATGTCTGTACTGGAAGATGGAATATCATTTGCAAGGGATGAACCAATGGAAGAGAAGAACCTATTGAACTCAATAGCAGAATCAGAGGCTGAAAGCTGACCATCGTTATTAGACAGGAGAGTCGGTTTGTTATTTAAAGATTTCTTTGATCCCAATATTTGAGAAATTGTTCTCCAAGTTTGTTTAATGTTGCTCTTTATTTGAGTAAATTTATCTTCGTAGTATTTAGTTTTGGCTCGTCTAATTATCTTAGACAGCAATAATGAGTAATTCTTTGAGAATTCTTTGGAGACAATTCCTAACCTATACTTCTTCTCAAGGTCATGTTTTTTATTAATAGATTTAAGTATTCCCTTTGTAAGCCAGGGATTGTTAAGCCTTTTGGTTGTGACTTGTTTTGTAAGCATAGGACAGTGGGTATTATAAAGGCTAAGAGTTTTTGAAGAAAAGATTGCACTGCTAGGTTGATGTCCACTATGTTACCTAACTCGGACTCCCAGTTGACATTATCAGCAGCAGTTATAAAATTGTCTATAGCAGTTTCATTGTGTAGTCTAAAACGTATCACTCTTGACTCAAGAGGTGGTTTGCTAATGTTAGTTAAGAGAAATGTGGGGTAATGA